TATATAAAATCATGTCATCTGCAAATAGTGACAGTTTCACTTCTTCCTTTCCAATTTGGATCCCTTTTATTTCTTTCTCTTGCCTGATTGCTCTGGCTAGTACTTCCAGTACTATGTTAAATAGGAGTGGTGACAGTGGGCATCCTTGTCTGAGATTAACTGCTTTTTAAGTCAGATTTATTGCTTTGTATTTTATTCTAGAAGAAACACTGATTTGATTGTCATTATGGAGTAAGTTCTATATTTCATGGAAACAAGTGTTAATTGGGAAAACAGCTCATGTCAGTTAACTTATTATACACTAAAACTTGATATCTTAATTATCTATTGTGTTTTTGTGCTTCAGGAATCATCTGTTGCGGTTTGCCTTAGAGTCACCACCCATATCTCCTGCTTCCTCCTCTTCAAAGAACCTTGCTGCCAAAGTAGACACTCCTGTAGCCTTCAGACATTCTTTAAAGCAAGGAAGCAAGTTAACAGAGAATTTCTTGACCAGAGAAGCTAGTGGTTCTGCATCAGAGTTGTTGATAAAAGAGAGTGAAAAAAAATTTAGCCCTCGAAAAGAGGTGGGCACTTCTGCAAAGACCAGAGAGACGCCTTCTATAGAGAAGAGAGCTCTAGGCTCCTTGGATGCTCATGTTCCTGCGACACCCTCTACATCGACTTTCAAACAAGTTACTAAAGGTAGGAAATTATTTTCACATGTGTATTTTCTTAGTTAATGGAAATCTTCTCATCCCACATGACAAGAATAAATAGGCAGAATTTTTGAGGGGGAAGGAATGAGAAAGGGCAAACCAGATTTCACCTTATAACAATCTCAGAGATTAATGTAGACAGTGCTTCAAGATATGTTTGTTCTCTTTTTTGTCTCATAGAATATGAATTCAGTCTGATTGCTGAAAAAATGAAGCAATTTTCCCTCCTAAGACTGGAGGGAACGTAAGATTAGTTTTATAGTTCGGTCACTCCTTGGTAGAAAAGAATTAACCAAAGAATTTTCTAAAAAATGGATTTCCGAACTTTTTAACAATCTCTTCCTTTAGCTGGAGGATTCTAATTGTGTGACTTCTCACAATTTAGCCATTACCTGGTAACCAGTCTGTCCCACTTCTGTTGCCCTGAGATGTCATTCTTTTTCTCTTCTGCTTTTCTAAGTGCTATTCTAAGTGCATATTAAGGTGGGAATTCTGTTTTTATCTTAATTGCTGAAAGATGCTAGGTTACATTATTTTTGCACTTTCTACAAGTAATAAAGTCTCTCTTTCTTTTTTAAAAAAATACAGTGGATTGTCCTGTTTGTGGCGTTAGTATTCCAGAAAATCACATCAATACGCACTTAGACAGCTGTTTATCACGTGAAGAGAAAAAGGAAAGCCTCAGAAGGTAAGAAAGTTAAGCATAACCAGTGAGCTTTAGCCAGGTGCCTCTGTGCTTTATTATTAGCCAACTCTTCCATTCCTTCTCCTCTTCTTTCCTCAACTCCACTTTGCCAAATATAATTAACTCTATTATATGCTAATACAATTTAATTTAACAAGAAATTAGTGACTTAGAATTCTGTTCTTTTCTTATTTTCTTGTCTTAGAATTTTAGAACTACCATAAAGCCCCTTAGCCAAAGAAAGCAAGGTTAGACTCTGAATATAGAAGATATAAAATCTTTCTTTGGTTCTTAGGATGCTCAGAAGTTTTAAAATTTTAAGTCAAACTTTTTCAAAATAAATTTTTTTCCGAATAGGCGGTTATATACATATGATGTAAAAAGGTACAAAAGGGTGTGTATGAAATATAAAGTCCTCCACCCCCCACCTGCAACCACCCAGGTGACATAACTAATAAGTTGTCTCAGTATTTGCACCCAAACTTAAGGTATTCTGCCTCCCTTATACATCAAAGTCACAGTAATTTATTACACTAGGCCACTATTATTGTACGTGTAAGTTGGTTAGGAATGAAATTTGAGTCAAAGTTAAATTGCAAGGTCTTAAGTAATCAGTGGTTAATGAAGATAAAAAGGAAGCAGAAGCTGCAAAGTAGATGAGTCTGGTGCTGAAGGGAAGAAGAGATGAGAAGGTAGTTTGGGGAACGAGTAAGCACAAGATCAAGGAAGATTTTATTTTTTAAAATAGAAATTGTTTAAGCCTTTAGTCTCTTTCCTTTCACTCTCTCTAGGGAGAGAGCAGGTGATACATGGAACAAGGTTGGGAGCACAAGAGATCGAGAGTCCAGTAATGAAGTTATCCTTGACATGCAGAAAGAACCCTTTTCTGAAACAGGAGAGAAGGGCAGAGAATAGGTCATCATTTAGAGAGACTTGGAAAAGGAGAGAAGGGAAACTGAAGAAATTAATGGTATCCAGGAGGTGGGGATCAATAGAATGATTGGCTCTTATGTTTGGTCTTTTTTTTGTTTTTAACTGAAGTACTATTGAAATACAGGATTATGTTAGTTTCAGTTGTACAACATAATGATTTGATATTTAGAAACATTAAGAAATGATCATGACAGTAAGTCTAGTTTCTGTCAGTCTTCCTATCAAGTTGTGGAATATTGTCGACTATATTCCCTGTACTGTATATTACATTCCCATGGCTTATTTATTTTATAACTGGAAGTTTATACCTTTTAATTCCCTTTACCTATTTCACCCAACCTACCACCCCTCTCCCCTCTGGCAACCAACAGTTTGTTCTCTGTTTCTATGACTCTGCTTTGTTTTGTTTGTTGATTTGTTTTGTTTTTTAGATTCCACATGTAAGTGAAATCATACAGTATTTGTCTTTCTCTGACTGACTTATTTCACTTAGCATAATACCCTCTGGGTCCATCCATGTTGTCACACATGGCAAGATTTAATTCTTTTTTATGGTTGAGTAATTTTCCGTTACACACACACAAACACACACACACACACACGCACACACACACACAACTTCTTTATCCATTCATCTGTTGATGGGCACTTAAGTTGCTTCCATATCTTGGCTATTGTAAATAATGCTGCAATGATCATAGGAGTGCATATGTCTTTTCCAATTGGTGTTTTCGTTTTCTTCAGGTAAATACCCAGAAGTAGAATGGCTGGATCATATGGCAGTTGTATTTTTAATTTTTTGAGGAACCTCTGTACTGTTTCCCATGGTGGCTACACCAGTTTACATTTCCACCAACAATGCAAGAGGGTTTCCTTTTTTCCACATCCTCACCAACACTTGTTATTTTTTGTCTTTTTGATGATAGCCATTCTGGCAGATGTGAGGTGTGATATCTCATTGTGGTTTTGATTTGCATTTCGCTGGTGATTAGTGGTGTTGAGTACCTTTTAATGTGCCTGTTGGCCACCTGTATGTCTTCTTTGGAAAAATATCTGTTGAGCTCCTCTGCCCATTTTTTCATTGGATTGTTTGTTTTTTTGATAGTAAGTTATATGAGTTCTTTATAAGTTTTGGATATTAACCCCTTATCGGGTATATGATTTGCAAATATGTTCTCTCATTCAGTCAATTGCCTTTGTGTTTTGTTGATGGTTTCCTTTGCTGTACAAAAGCTTTTTAGTTTAATATAGTCCTGTTTGTTTATTTTTGCTTTTGTTGCCCGTACCTGAGGAGACATACCTGAAAAAAAAATGTTGCAAATAGCAGTGTCAAAGAGCTTACTGCCTGTTATTTTTTCTAGGAGTTTTATGGTTTCAAGTCTTTAATCATTCATGTCTTTAATCCATTTTGAGTTTATTTTTGTGTATGGTGTATGATAGTGGTCCAGTTTCGTTCTTTTGCATATAGCTGTCCACTTTTCCAAGTGCCATTTATTGAAGAGACTACCTTTTTTCCCCTTGTATATTCTTGCCCTCTTTGTTGAAGATTAATTGACTGTATATGTGTGGATTTATTTCTGGGCTCTCTATTCCACTCCATTGATCTGTGTGTCTGTTTTTGCCAGTACCATACTGTTTTGATTACTACAGCTTTGTAGTATAGTTTGAAATCAGAGAGCATGATAACTCCAGCCTTCTTCTTTCTCAAGATTGCTTTCAGGGTCTCTTGTGGTTTCATTTAAATTTTAGGAATAATTTGTTCTAGTTCTATGAAAAAGGCCATTGGCATTTTGATAGGAATTTCATTAAACCTGTAGATTGCTTTGGGTAGTATGGACGTTTTACCAATATTACTTCTTCCAATCCATGAGCACAGTATGTCTTTCCATTTATTTGTGTCATCTTCAGTTTCTTTCTTCAGCATCTTATAGTTTTCAGAGTATAGGTGTTTTACCTCCTTGGTTAAATTTATCCCTAGGTGCAATTGTAAATGGGATTGTTCTCTTAATTTCTCTTTCTGATATTTTGTTGTTAGTGTGTAGAAATGCAACAGATTTCTGCATATTACTTTTGTGTCCTGCAACTTTACTGAATTCTTTTACTAGTTCTAGTGATATTTTGTTGGAGTCTTAAGGTTTTCTGTATAGTGCCACGTCATCTGCAGATAGTGAATTTTACTTCTTGTTTTCCAGTTTGGATGCCTTTTATTTCTTTTTCTTGCCTAATTGCTGTGGCTAGGACTTCCAATAAATAAAAATGGTGAAAGTGGCCATCCTTGTCTTCCTCCTGATCTTAAATGAAAGGCTTTCAGCTTTTCACTGTTGAGTATATTAGCTGTGGATTTGTCATATATGGTCTTTATTATGTTGATGTATGTTCCCTCTATACCCACTTTGTTGAAATGTTTTTTTATCATAAATGTATGTTGAGTTTTGTTAATTGCTTTTTCTGTATCTATTGAGATGATCATATGATTTTTTTTTTTTTTGGTGAGGAACGTCAGCCCTGAGCTACCATCTATGCCAATCCTCCTCTCTTTGCTGAGGAAGGCCAGCTCTGAGCTAACATCTATTGCCAGTCCTCCTCCTTTATTCCCCCAAAGCCCCAGTAGATAGTTGTATGTCATAGTTGCACATCCTTCTAGTTGCTGTACGTGGGACGTGGCCTCAGCATGGCTGGAGAAGTGGTGTGTCGGTGCGCGCCCGGGATCCAAACCCGGGCCACCAGTAGCGGAGCGCGCGCGCTTAACCGTTAAGCCGTGGGGCCGGCCCTTCCCTGTTGATTTTCAACGCCCAGTGTTTTGGGGGCTCCTCTCTCCTGTGCCAGATCTAAGGGTTGAGGTGCCTGATGTGGAGTTTGAATCCCTCACTCCTCAAGGAAACGTTTAGTACCTTTGAGATCTCTCCTGATTGTGGATTGCTGCAGCTGGGGTGTGGGTTTTTTTTGGTGAGCCCGTGAGTCTGCCCCTTTTACCTGTTTCGATGCTGTCCTTTTATCATTTGTTGTGGGGGCTCTGTTCACCAAATTTTCAGGTCTGTTTCAGAGGGAATTAGTCTAAACGTAGTTGTAGATTTCTTGTGTCTTTGGGAGGAGATGAGTTTAGGATCTTCCTTTGCTGCTGTCTTGAACTCCCCTCTGTTTTGTCTGTTTTGAAGGACTTAGAAGAATATTTTCCAAAAACCATGTTAATAAGGCAGGGCCATTATATTATATTTTGTAATTAAAGGTAAAATGGTGTCACTTAATTTTTATGGGTAAATCTGGAGTGAAGGCAGGTTCTGAGGGACAAACTCATGCTGTCATAACTTACAAAAGCTGACATAGAAAGTGTAATGATGCTTTATTAATTTACAGTGGGGGACATCAATTGACAGTTCTTATCATAGTGTTTGTAACTTGATCGTTACCTTTCTTCCCCTAGCAGAACCTTTTTTTTCAAATGAAATATTACAATGAGCCATCACACGTAAAATAGATAAGATTGCCCTGCTCCATTAAAGTGGAGATGGAGGCCTGGGGGCTGTGCTGCTCCACCTGACCTCCCCCTTTGTCCCCGCCTGTTATCCACGGTGGCTTCTGGGCCCCGAGACACCTCCACGGATCCCTGCAACAGATCCCTGTGCAGTCTTGTGTACACATTCCCCCCTCCTAGTGGGTAAGATTGTTGACAAGAATAAAATTTACATTTTTCGGTCATTTAGTCAGTTAGAATTTGGAATAAATGAAACTGGATCGTCCCGAGGATTATTTCCCGTAAGCCGTGAAAATCTGAGACCTGCATTTCTCTTTAGAAATGAATGAGTTGGGAGTATAGAAGCTGAGCATTTTCTCCTTGAAGTGTGAGGAATCAACACTGATAATCTTGCTTGGACTTCTCTTTTTCTAGAGGCATCCGTCCTGTTTCTTCTGACACATTTAGCTCTGTCAGTTTATCCAAAGACATACTCATCCATGTATCATCAAGTTCAAGTTCCAATAGTGGTTCCAAATCCTGCTCCATGGAATACTATAGTCCTGCCACTTGCTCTGGAGTGCAACTGCACTGCACTGCACTGCATACTGTATTTCCCTCTTAGGGAAAGATTCATTACACAAGTTAGTGTATTGAAGGCTCTGAGAAGTCCTGCATCAAAGATAATTGTTGGATTTTGTTTAATCCAGTAATTTCTTTTTTTTTTTTTTAATTTTTATTTATT